TGGAGAGGTCTTCAGCTAAAGCATTAGTATGACAAAGGTAAGCAGAGGGGCTGGAGATGGGCAGAGGGAAAATGCAGTCAGACTGGACTTTTCTCCCAAAGGCCACATGGTTCTGTTCTCATCCCCAACTATTAAAAGGCAGGGAAGTGTCTGGACCCAGGATCTAAGGAAACGGACAGGCTTTGCTCAGCTACTTGACAGCCCCTGGTCCGCTGTGGCATCTGTACCTCTCGCTTCTTGGAGGAAACCACGAGCTCGAGAAAGGACACATCCTCCCCCCAGGAGTCGATCTCCGTGAGGTCGTAGAGAGTGGACGTCAGCGGCCCGTACGTCCACTGGATGTGCTTCCGCTTCTGCATCAGGTGCTGGAACATCTGGGAGGACACAGCGGGGAGTCCGAGCGTCAGTGGGAGAAGCGGCCGCGGGAACCACGCCACCCGAGGGGGCTGCTGCCCGCTCCTCGGCACTAACGGGCAGTCAGCGATGCCCACGCCTCTGCTGCGTGAACCCCCTTTAGTTTCTGCTTCTCCTTCTTTCCCACAGACCCTCTAAGGACCGGAGAGAAGAGGACAGGCCAAGGGAACAGCCCTTCGGGTCACCAGAGCAGAGCTCCTAGAGCGCCACTCTCCAAGCTCCGGGTCAGGGAGGCTGCGCGGTTAGCGGGGGAGTGCGCGGTAAGGGACGCCGCCCTGTGGGGAGCTCGGGGAGAAGGAAGGCTCTTTAGGAGGACGCCCTAGGGCCAGGGCAGCATCCCTCACCACAGTGTTGCCCTCCACTCCGGCCAGCTTGAACGGGGTGAGACCCTGGTGATTGGGCACGAGGTCCAGGGACTGCAGGTGGTCCCTGCGCCCATCGTACGAGAGCAGCAGGTTGTACATCTGGCAGGCAAAGGTCTTGTTGGGCTGGAGGATGAGGATGTGCAGCACGGTGTTTCCTGCGGGCGGGACGCGGGTGTCGCGCGGCCATTGCCCCGAAGGCCCCGCTGTTGCCCGGCCCACCCGGGGCCCTGCCCTCACCGCCCCCAGCATCCCGGCTCCCCTCCCGACCCCAGCTCTTACCCAGGGAGTCCTGGGCCCGGATGTCAGCTCCGTGCTCAATGAGCAGCCTCACGATCTCCTCACTGCCCACGCAGGCAGCAAAAGACAAAGGGTGCTCCCCTGTGGACACACAGGGCTCCGTGGCGTGAGTGCCCGATGGGACGGGCAGTGTCCCTGAGCGACCGCCTCCCTGCCCCCCACGTCTCAGCTCTGGGCTTGGTGACACTTGTCAGCAGAACCAGAGGCAGGGATGGAGCAAGTGCCGGTGGGGAGAACTGGCTCTGGCCTTAAGCCCTGTAAGGCCTGACCCCTTCCAGCTTTCCCAGGGCCTGGAGCCCGCCTCAGCCCCCCTCCCTCTGCTCCTGCCCGCCTCCCCGCGGCCCCTTCCTCCCAGCCCTGGCCCTGCTCCCACCAAAGTAGATGAGGTTGCGGGGGCTGCGGCGGAAAGCTGTGCCTGTAGCTCTTGCAGAGACGCAGGCGCCGTGCGCAAGCAGGGCTCGCACCAAGTTCACGTTCTGGTTCACGATGGCTATGTGCAGTGCAGTCTGACCTGGCCCAGAGACAGCTCTCAGTCACGGGGTGTGGCCCCAGTTCTCCCAGGGACACAGCATCCCACTGGCAGACAGGAGGTCCCTGACAGGTCCTGGCATAGATTTCTGCCCTTGGCCCAGCATGGTGGCCTGGGACTGAGGGCGATTAGTCCCATAGGCTGTCCACCTCACTGTCCCCAACTCTTGACTATTGTGGGTAAGGGGTATATGTGATCATTCTAATGTTGCTGTGAGAAAAACAGAGTTTTGTCCTTCAGGGAGCATGAGAGGAGTTGAAAGGAAGTAAGGAAGGGCTAAAGAAAGTCCCGGATGCTAAAGGCCAAGACCAGGACCTCTACATTCCTTCCAACTCAAGGGCAACTTTCCTGAACCCTCTGTCACCCCTTCCCAGCACCCCCTTCAGAGGCCCAGGTTAAGAGGTGACATCAGCCCCTCCCATACCTGTCTCCGCCTTGAACTACTGCGCAGACTCCTCACCTACAAATGGCTCACACAAGGCCGGCTCCTTGACCAGCTCCGGGGCCGCCTCTATCAGCACCATGGCAGCTTCAAGACTGTCGTAGAGTGCAGCGATATGCAGCGCCGTCTCCCCCAAGGCTCCTGGAGCGGAGTAAGACAGGGGTGTCAAGCACTTCCCCGAGCCTCTCGGGGAAGGGGCTCCAGCGGCAGGTACTGTCCACCACCCCTGCAGAAACCCTTCTGGCCCTCCTCCCATCACACTCCAGCCGTGTCCCACCTCTCTGCCGGAAGTCACAGTTTCGGTCCAGCAGAAGCTTCTTCAGGACACACAGGTCATTTTCCTTGGCTGCCTGGAGCAGCGGAGACTCATGGATCCTGGGAGAAGATGAACATGAGTCAGGTGGAAGCAGAATCACAGAGAGGCCAACGGCAGAGAGAGGATCAGAGATGTTCTCTACGTGGAACAGACACACTAGTCGCACACGGTGCGCAGTGACACGCCGGAAAGAGTTGTTTGTTGGAATCTAGCTGAGGGTCAGATTGGGATGAGAGCCGGGCTCAGGGCTCCCCCTGTGGCTGCATCATCACCAGCTCTTCCCAGTTGGGGGCGGGGGAGGGAGAGGGTGCTCAAGGCTCAGGTGGGTGGGAGACTCTGTGGGGGGGCAGAAGGCCTAGGCTGCTGAGCCAGCGGCCCTGGTGACCCTGACAGGAGGCCATCAGGCCTGGCCCGGCTGAATCCATCTTAGCTGAGTAAATGTTTTCACCCCTGCCCCCAGGCCTGCTGAACCAGCTCTCCTTGGGCGAGGGGAACTTTGAGACACCAGAGGGGCAGAGAGGCAAAAATGGGCCAGTTGTTGGGACTTGGGAGATTTACAAGCTGCCAAAATTCCAAATACCCCTCCGGGCTGTTCAGATACATATCCCTGTTGTCGGAGGGTGGGGGGAGGGAGAGCTCTGGCATGGGGTACAGATGATCTAGTCCTTCTGTGTTTTACCCTGTTCCTGCCTGAGGAGGAGCATAGCCTCGGGCTTCTCTGCAACTGGGAGCAGGAGAAACCCTGTGGAGACATCCAACCTGAGGCACCTCTTGTCAATTAATCTTTGTTTCTCCCCTCCTCGCTGAACCAAACAAGAGATAAAGCTGAAGCCCATCCTGTTGGGCAAGCACGTGGGGGCTCCCAAGGTGAACACAAGGCAGGTGAAGGTCATGAGGGAGAGATGAAAGGCAGACAAACAGACTGACCAGTGCTTCCCATGATGTCTGCAAGCCCCCAGATCCTCTCTTTCCATTGTCCTGTGAGCTGGGGGAAGAACTTTTTTATTTAAAGAAGAAGCTTTTTATCTTAAAGGTGGAGCTCGAGTCTGTCTGTTAGAAAAGTACTCTCAGGAGGGACCAGCAGAGTAAGGGCCAGCCCCCGCCCCAACTCACCTAGCGGGAGTCCGCCCAGCTCCTGGCAACCAGGGCTAGGGTTCCAGAGTTTCCTCCGCTTCCGAGGGAACTGCACACAGCCCTAGCAGCCAGGCCTCTAGCCCACCGCCATCTGCAGAGGGGAGGTCCAGAACCCAGCTCTCTCTCTCCAAGACGGCCCTAGTCTCACCCAGAAGTTTGGAGGGAGGTGGGGAGGCCAAAGGTTCCCTCACAGGGCCTGGGGTGGGGGTTGGTGAGCAAGCAGGGAGCCTTTCCCAAATGAGGGCTTAGAGTGTACCCAGCGTCAGCTGCACAGTTTGTGAGGCCCAGTGCAAAATGAAAATGTAGGACTCCTTGTTCAAAAATGAAGCATTTCAAATTGACAACAGCAGCTCATTAAACCAACGGATCTTGTGCCACTGTAGAGGCCACTGCGCATGAAGCCAGCCCTGGCTGGACCCCAGACCTGTTAATGTCTGCTCACCCAATCCCGAGGCAGCTCTCTGATGGGCGACCAGTTCCCCAAATGCTCGGAGGCAGAGGCCCACCTGCAGGATGTGTCCCTGCCCTGGCCTCTTCTCCACAAAATGATCTGTCCCCAGGTGTACCAGCCCCACCTGACCTGAAGGCGTCCCAGGGGCAGGCACAGGCCTCATTCAATCTCTGTGTCCTCGGGATAAGGACTGGATACAGTAGACTCTCAATAAAAGGTAGATAAGCTGAGTTTCCCTTATCAGCTGGTCAGCTCCAGATGTAATACAAAGCAGAACTCTCCTCCCCTTTTGCACACAGTCAACTTTCATTCATACTCGTGGGAATTCCTCACTCTTTCTCAAGGCAACAAGTCTTCAAAACCCTGCAGGATCTCATGCCTTCCCCCAGTAACTTGTTCCCCCCTCAGCCTGCACCCGCCTCTCTCCGTAGTCAGCCTTCCTCTGTCCGGTCCCTTTCTGTCCCCGTACCCCTCCGCCACCAGGCAGGCAGGTTAGAGCTGTGGTGTGATTTTGTCCCTGGCTTTGAATCTGCATTGAGTCTCCTCCTGCCCTGCCCATGAAAAGAGGCAGCTGGGGTTTGTAACGAGTGGGCTGGGTACAGCCCAGTGCCTGGCATTGAATGTCGGGTTGCTCCAAGGGGGAGATACACCCGCGTGGATCGGAGGGCTCGGAGGTCAGTGAGGGGTGGGATGCAGCATGACTTGGGGCAGCCTACCTCTTCTGTTGCAGCATGTGGGCCTCATCCACGTGCTGGTCCCAGTCCTGCTCTCTGACCAGCCAGGAGGCCAGTAGTTTCTGGAGTTGGACCCAGGGTCCCTCCGCCTTAGGTGGAGGAGCCCCCATATCTTCTCCTTTCAGGCACTGGCAGGTTAGGGAATGTGGTAAAAGGAGCCAGTCTGGGACTCCTCAACTGAGGAGGAGGCGGAGTCTGTTTGGGGTTGGGACTGAGAGTCTATCTCCTGTGTGACTTGTGTATGCAGCGTGCGGTTTGTGGGTGGGGTGTGTGTGTGTGTGTGTGTGTGTGTGTGTGTCTGTGCGCGCGCGCGCATGCATGCCTGCATGCACCGGGGGGACTGGGGGCCCTGCCAAGAGAAAGCAGCTTTACCTGGAGGAGGAGGAGCTCTTTCTAGAGAGCCCCTGGGGCACAGAACCTGCCCTAGAGCTGGGAGGGGAGAGGGAAGGGATCTTCGTTCCTGGCAGTGGGCTGGGGTCCGAAGTGAGACAGGGGAAGGTGAGGGAGGGTGAGACAATGGAAAATAGAGGGGGAGCAAGGATGGAGCCCAGAAGGTGGGCCCCACAAGCAAGGTGAGCACTTACTGGGATACAGGGCGGTAAGAAAGTGAAGCCCTCCAGCTCAGCCATCAGGCAGGTCCTGGTTTGAATTCTGGCTCTTGGCCCTTATAGATCAGTTAGGTGAGCTTTCTGCGCTTCAGTCTTCCAGTCTGTAGAATCACGTCAATAATTGTACTGTCTCATGGAAGTGTCCCTTAAAGCATGATCATAAGAGCTCAGGGACTGTTGGTTCTCCTTCCACAGATAGGCTCCAAGCCCCAAGGGGCTGCTTCTCCGTGTTGTGGTTGTCTCTGTCCTCAACCCTACAGCCAGCCTCCTGGAGGCTTCTGGGCCACCGTCCTCTGTCTTCCCTCCCAGCCTCATGGATCCCCAGTCAGGGGAGGCCCCAGAGGTGGAACCATAGGAGCCGAGCCAAGGTGGTGGATGGAGAAATCTTGGGACTTTCTCCGGGAATGAGTAGGCAGGAAGATTGAGGACAGAAGACCTCGTGTTGTTTTCCGATAGGATGGGGTCCATTTTTCTTCGGATTGTAAATGCATTTGTTGAATTGGAGTCATTCAGGAGGCCAGGGAGGTACGTGGGAATAGGTTGGGGGCTCTCTTTATATTCTAATGAGGAGACAGAGCACAGAGGGGGAGGGTGATATCCCATGGCTAGTAGCAAAACTAGCATTAAAGTTGGAAATTTAGCTCCAAATCATCTGCCACAACCTGTTGTTTCTTGGGAAACTTCTGCCTGCACAGATGTGAGAGACTTGGGGGGACACAGGCTGGGACCCTTCCCCTTGGGGGTCTTCAGGAGCAGGGGACCCCCCCCCTTCTTTTAGTGTCAGATTGAAGGATGGACAAAATGACTTTTAGAGGAGAACTGAAAGGAGACAAATAAGGAAAGGAAGAGATGCCAGAGACAGGAGGAAGCACGCTCTCACCCAGGGAGTGGGGAGATGCCAGCCGGGAAGGGGGAGGCGGTCACCTTGTAGGGCAGTTTTCTGCTTTGCTGGGGACTGGGGTGGTGTGGGATGGTAATGGCCTCTGAAGCCTTGGGACTTCCAGTCTAAGGAGATGGACGGAGCGATAAGGTTGAGGTGGGGGTTGTAGATGCACTGATAAGCAGGGGGCTGGCAGAGAAAGGAGCACCTGCCTGCTGAGGCAACACTCAAACCATAAAGCTAATCCTGGAGGCGGTGGGGGCGGGGAGGGGCTGGCCCGGTCAGAGCCGCACAGAGCAGGTGCGGGGAGGGGGGGCTCGCTACCAAGGGCTTTGTCCTTGGGTCTGGGGTGGGGAAAAGAGGGGGGCCCAGGAACGGGCCCCCACTCTGGGTTTCCACCCTCTCACTTGCCCAGGCCCACTGCACGGGGCCACTTCTATGTGGATAGTTTTTGATAAAGACAGTACAGTACTGTAAACATATTTTCTCTTCCATACGATCTTCTTAACAATTTTCTCTAGTTTACTAGAAAAGTACAATATCTAATACATATAGCATACAAAATATGTGTTAGTTGACAGTTTGTGTTTTTGGTAAGGCTTGCAGTCAACAGTAGGCTATGAGTAGTTAAGTTTGGGGGAGTCCAAAGTTACACTGGGATTTTTGACTGCGTGGGGGATCAACTCTACTGCTTCATCTTTAAGGAGTTCCTTGCTCTCCTCTGGCTTCCTCCCTTCACTCCTCCGCCCTGGTCACACCCCCTACCACAACTATTTCTCCCTCCTTCCTTCTCATGCTCCCTCAGCCTTCTGTGGACACAAACACCTAGGACCCCTCTCCCTCAGGTAGCAGCTTCCCTGCAGTCGCAGGAGACTCAGTGATGGCCAAAGAGCCCCTCATTACACTGTCAGGCCCCAGAGCCCCTTGGCACCAAACCAGTCAGACCTCATGTTCTGATGTGATGAGGAGAAAGAAAATGAATCATACCTGGGTTTTATTTTCTAGGAAATACTCTCCCACTCCATGTACCCACAGCCATGTTGGGAAAGGTTTTAAATACCACGCTTTAAAACATTAATAGTGATTTTCACTGAATGGTGGAATTACTAGCCCTTTTTGCTTTTCCTACTTTTAAATACTTTTATAATAAAAACAATTACATTCCTGCAGGATTTATCTCTTCCAGCACAGGGAATGGGGCAGGTGGGTAGTGAGGAAATGTGAGGAATGGTGGTCAGTACAACCCAGTTCTTTCCACACCAGCCTGCCCCACCCCTAGCCACCCTCCCTATCGATATGCACAGAGCCTGAGAGGGCTTCTCTTTTTGCTGGGAACCAAGAGGCTCCTCCCCCAAAGTAACCAGATTAGTGATTTTTTTTTTTTTCCACCCAAGCATTGTTTCCTGGACCTGAAGGTCAATGAGTGCAAGGTAGGGGTGAGCAGGGTCACTTGCTTCCTTGAATCTTTCTTCTCCCACCAGCAAGTGACCTCCTGTACCACTACCCAGTCACCACGTCACCTGGCCTGGATCAGCAGGAAGAAAACAAGAGGCAATGAGAGCCTCCAGGTGAGCTCATCTGCCAGCAGGCGTCCATCTGTGGGAAGGAGTCTCCACTTGCACTCCCATGTCTATGGGTACACATTTCTGTGCATGGCCCAGCCCCTGCATTTGGTGGTTCACTCAGGTGTGGGATGCATGGGCTCCAGGAGTGGTGTGAGCTGGTTGTGATAGCTCAGGTGTGCCTGCAGTCTTCTCCCACCTGCCCCAGCACCCTTCCTGTAGCTCATGGCCTGCACTGGTTTCTGGTTGTCCAGGCAGATCTTTATCCTAACTCCCAAGCTCACCCCACCCCACCCCACCCCATCCCAACCATCTCTGCTCCAGGAGGTAATTAGGCACAGCCCATTACTGCCAACACATCTGTGCTCACCAGGTCCATGGGCATGGCGGGCCTGGGGCACTGAGGCAGGTTTCTTGAGATCTGTTGTTTGGGATCCTCGCCTCTCTGCCACACTGGTTCTTCTCTAAAGACTCTACTTCCATCGAGCAAGGAGTTTAGAGAATGAGCCTCTGAGAAGTTTTTCTTTGTATCTGAGAATAATAAGAGGCTATAAAACTAGAGAAGCGGGGTGTCGGTCTACCAGTACAAGAGGGCAAAGGCTCAGGGAGAGGAAAGTCTAGGGGAGGGTGAGGGATGAGGGAATGCTTTCTGCTTGGGTGCAGGGGACCCTGTGCTGTCTCTCACACACGCACGCGTGCGCATGCTCACACATGCGCACACACACACACACACACCATGTACACTTTCCTCCCGCTCCACCTGTGCCCTTCCACCTCCCTCATTTTTGATGGGCCTGAGTTTCATGTACAGCCCAGGGCTTGAGGATCTGATATTTTCACATCTGCTGTGGGCGTCAGCCTCCACAAGCCACTTTCCTTGGAGAAAGGCCACATGGAAGAGAGAAAGAGGTGATGTCTAGAATGTCTAGAAAAGGGGTGGTCAAGAGCCCTGCTCTACCCTATTGTCTTGGTGATGCGAAGGGCAAGAGTCATGTCTTTTGGGAAGCTTGGCTTCCTCATCTGTATAATGGGTATGATGATCCTATGACTTTGAGTCCGGTTGATATGTGGCTCTCATGACAAAATGGATGTGAAAGTACTTGGCAAACTCTTCAGTCATTTGGTTGCTCTCCACAGGATGACCCACTACAATCATCCTAGAAGCCTCTGCCGTCTGCTGCTGGCTACTCACCACTCTCTTGCCTGACAATGGAACTCTCTAATGACCTGAATGAGGGGCAGTCCCATGGCTGTGATGTCACAAAGCTCATGAAGTCAGAGGTCCTATGGAAGGGAAGGGAAGAAAGCGGTGCTGGGAAGTGGTAAGGGCTGGAACAGGGGCAGGGGAGGGAGGCGGGGGAGCTGGCTGGGCACTGCGGAATAGGGAAGGCCAAAGGCAGCCAATGGGCAGGCCCATGACTTTCCTAGACTCCCAGCTCTGCAGGGCAGCATTCCTGGCCACCATCCTGCTGCTGCTGCTGCGGGTCAAGGGAGTGAAGCCTCAGAAAGGCAGCCTGGACCCCAACGAGAGGAGTCAGAATGAGAAGATACCCTCTACAGGTAGGTAGAGAAGAGAGGATGGCTTCTGGAGCTAAGGATCAGATCTCTTTGGAGTCAGTCCCCTACTACTTCTCAGGCTGGAGTGATACCTGAGATAGGTTTGGGTTGCGGGAGACAAGCCCTAGCCCCCTATTATTGTAGTGTGAAAGGGTCAGGGAAAGGGTTTAGAGCAGGGTTCTTGGCCAGGGCCATATTCAGGGGCACACCACAGGCTAGCCAAAAGTGCATGCATCTTGTGTGTGTATAGGCACAGGTGCATTTGTCTGGGAAGAGTCTCTGGTTTCCGTCCTTCCCCAAGGTGGTCCCTCCATCTCTGAATGGTGTAATGCGATTTGGAGGAGACAGTTTGAAGTGGAAATGGGGTGTGTGTGCTGTGGTTGAACACAGATGGGAAGAGACCTCTAGATGGAGCATTGGCCTCCTTGGTCCAGGACAGGGTCTGCACAACGGGGCTAAAAGCCCCAGGCCCTAACTTCTTCCCAGATTCTCCAACTTTGTCCCATTTCTGGCATAGGTTGGGGTCGGGGTAGGGGCAGGTTAGGATCAGCCCCCTCAGTGCCTTCCCCTCTCCCTTGTTCCAGACCAGGATCAAGAGCACTTTGAAGAGCACTTTGTGGCCTCCTCAGTGGGTGAGATGTGGCAGACTGTGGACATGGCCCAGCAGGAAGATGACAAGACATCAAACACTGCAGCTCTTCGTGACCACCTATTGGACCTAGCCTTCTGCTTCAATATGGCCAGCATCATGGTTTTTTTATGAGGGACATTGAGGCTGAAGTGGGGGCCTGGTTCCTGGATGAGGACCTGGATATCTACCTCCGCTTCATGATAGCTTACTGACCCTCTCTCCTCACTGGGCTCCAGGTCACTGCTCCCACGGGAGGCATATGCATGGCTTCCTGCCTCTGGCCAGTGGCTCTTCACCTCAGGATGCAGCGTCCGAGAGACCCTGGTGCTGGCCTTCCAGCCACCCAGCGCCACAGCCTCACCGCCTCCCCACCCTCTGAGCTCCATCTCCCAGGTCCTGAGACACCAGGCCCTTGCACTTCTCCCTCCCACACCTCTCCTGGCTCTGCTCGGGAGAGCACATTGGGGCAAGGGGGCAGCAACAATCAAAGTAATAACAGTAAAATCCTGAAAACACATGGGGGCAGCTCTCTGAAATTTAACTGAAGCCCTTGTGTCTCACACTGGTCCGTTTGACTGCCGGACCTGTGGCCCACTGACCTTTCGACCCACTAGTTCACCAATCATTGGTTCTCTCCTCTTCTTGTGTCTCTGGAACTCTCTCGGCCTTTTCTCCTCTTATCTTTTCTGACTTCTAGGCATGGAACATATCAAGAAAGAGTCATTAAGAGACAGGCAGATGCCAAGTGCCAGCTTTTATTTTTGGAAGGGAAGGAGAAAGGAGATTATCGCCTGATCCCATGGCTGGAGCAGGGAGATGTTGTGACATCTGAATTGAAGTCTCTGTGGAAGCCAGGTTACCAGAGTTGGCAGCGGCTGGAGGGATTCATGAGGGCACCCTGTGGACAGTGGAAATGTCTGGCAAAGGCTGGGGTGTTGCTGAGGGGCCCGTGGACTCGAAGGGTGGGCGGGCTGTGAGGATCCTGGGGCTCCTGGGTGCCAGGCTCCCTACACATCACCTGTGGAGAAAGAGAGGTGTGCCTGGGGTAAGGAGAAAGGCAGAATCGTAGGGAAGGTCAGGGTCAGTAGGACAAGGCCGAACAATGCCAGGATGGTGACCGAAGACAGCAGACAGAGATGAGAGCAGGGGTCAGGCCACACATTTGTCCGTCACTTAATCTGGCAGGAGGCGTGTGAGGGAGGGCCTGGGCTGTGCAGTCAGACCATTTGTCAGTGACTGAGAGGTGGGGTTTCTTGGAAAAACTCTGTGAGGGGGTCTTTCAGTATATTGAGGAATTGGGAGCAATGTCTTGGTGGGGGAGCATATGGTACTTAGGGGGTGCTGTCAGGTGAGGACCACACCTGGGGGTGAGGTCTCCGAGAAGGAATGTGGTCTAGAGACCATCTGTTGGAGGCTCGGTTTTGAGAAGAAATGAGAGAAGAAAAAGTTGGGCTCATCTCAGAGAGGGATTTGGCAGTAGAGTTTTTTTTTTCTTTATTTGAAGGGGGTGCTGAATTTGGTAGAAGAATTTATAGTAATATGAAAAGATGGCCCCAGGTGGTAGGTATGAAAGGATGGCAGTGGGGACTTCTGTGGCAGAGATTTGGGGCTGTTTGGGAGAAGACATTTCAGGGAGGAGTCTTCTTTAAGTGTCAGCAGTAGGATACTTCTCTGACATGGAGCGAGCCGTGGAGGGAGGTGGCAGCAACCTACCTGGGCATAGCTTCGGAAGAAGAGTTGCTGAGGACTGAGGCCCAGGTTCGGCAGGATGGTCTCCCCATGGTTCCATAACAGCCTCTTGCTGTATGCCTGGATATGGGGGTGGGACGGTGAGTAGCCCTTAGACTCCAGACCCATGGCCATTTGCAAGTCTGCTGCCCTACACACAACACCCAAAACCAGTCTGTGGCCCTTTTGCCCAAATTCTGCACAGACACACTGGTCTAAGCCAGGGGAGGAAAAAAAAATCTATAGATCTTACATACTTGTGAGAGATCTATGGATATCCTAGAAAAGAGGGATCTGTGGGGTGGGAGGGGGATCCCCATCTGTTCCGTGGGGAAATGAAGGCTTTACAACTATGTTTGCATGAGGGATGGTAGAAGGAATGGCTATTAACAGATCCTGGCTCCTGGGATGGGAGTTACCTGTAGTGCAATGGCCAGCCCCCCAGTGTCTGCAGCATTCTCCAGGAATGTCCGAGAGCCATTGAAGGAGGTTCCACTGGGTAACGGAATGGTCTCATAGTGGTGTGTCAGGCACAGCAGCGCCCCCTGTAGGGCACGGGTGTCACAGGCTGGGCAGCCCCCAGGGAGTACTGTTGAAAATGGGGCCAGGTAAAGAAATAGTGAGGCGCCATGTAAGGATGAGGACAAGGGGCTACCACAGACTGGGCTGGCCCCCAGAAGCATTGCAGAGGATTCAGAACTGTCCCATCTGGAGCCCTCCCTTTCTCCTCCTCTTGGCCTCTCTTGGGGCCTTCACCTGGGTTCCCAATGGCCCCACCTCCCAATGGCCCACTGTTACCCACAGAGCTGGTAGAAGATGTGCAACAGCTCATGGGCCATAATGCTGCCAGCAGCGCCAAAGTTCACGGCTCTGGGGAGAGAGAGGTTTGTCTTACTCCCAGAGTCCTACCAAGTTTTTGACTCCAGTCCTCCGACCACAAGTCCCATCCATCATAACATCTGTCCATCATGCTTGGGAAATCCCCTGCCCACCCTCAGGGAATGGCCCCTACCTGGGGTAGCCAGGGTGGAAGAATGGTGGTTGGAGGAGTCCAGCTGGGAAGACCACCACATGGTCAGGTATTGAATAATAAGCATTGACCCCCCAGGGGGACACCTGCCACCTATGGGAAGAGCACATATGAACACTAGCTGCATCATTTATGGTCCCGCCCACCAGACATGAAGTCCCACTCAACTTCTGTCACTGTTCCTGTATCCCCAAGCCCTCATCTTTGCTGCTAATCTTGAATGGGTATCTCTGAGATGCAGGGTCTGTGTCCCCTTGCTCTTATACCTGTGGTAGGGGAAAGACTGCAAGAAGCTCTGGACAATTCTAGCTCGGAGGGATCGGACACAGCTCAGGAAGGACTGTAGGTAGCTGGGTCCAAGCTGTATCTGGGAGGAAGCAGGAGGTGACTCAGATATACAGAGACAAATACAGATACCCTCTGACACACCCTGATGGGTACATCTGAACATAGACAGATAAGCCCCAACACACAGACATCCAGACTACAGTGGACAGCAGCACAATGACACCACCACATGTCAGAGCAGACAGGCTTCACATGAATCAGTGCACAGATAAACACACTCAGGCAAGTCACAAGAATGCATGTATACATGCGTGCACACACACTCAGCGTGACCTGAAAAGGTTCTGTTCTTCTGCTGGCAAGACCCACAGTGTGGATATTCACCCATAAAACCCAGCCAACACCAGGGCAAGGAAGGGGTTGGTTAGGATTGCCCCAGGTAAACAGATTGTCTGCCACTCAGGCGGGTCAGGGGGCTGAGGACTAATGAGGAGCTGGCAAGGGCAGGGACCCACATCGTTGTATTCCTGTCTGGCCAGTGATGGCTCCAGGGCCCATTCTGGGGCCCCCATCTTCACCTGCAGTTGGGTGACCTGGGGAGAGACACAAAATGTAGAAGAAACCTACCTACTCCAAGTCTATCAGAGGGAATTTCTCAGGCTCACTGCCCTGGTCCCACCTTTTATATTGTCACCAGGGTGTGTGTGTGTGCAGCATATTGGTGTTTACACTTGCCATGTGTCCTTGTGCCTTTGCACTGTCCTCCCACCGGTGTGATCTCTGGATCCAATACTCAATTCCACCCCTTCTGACTCCCGACTCCTGTCTTTCACTCCTGAGCTTACCCTGTTCTGGGCCTCCTTCCGGGTCTTCTCATCCATCCAGGGAATCCTTCTGAGGCGGCTGATGAGGGCATTCTTGATTGCAGTGAATAGTTCCATGGCCTGTGAAGGGGCCAGTTTAGAGAAATAGGATCAGGGTTGGCCTCAGTCTGGGGTCCTGCCCACTGGGCCTTTGGGAAGGGCGTTGGCCCCAAGGAGCTACCAGAGAAGGGGAAAGATCTCTGAGAGAGAAAGTAGGAATATTTACTAGGTGACTAGAAACAGAGCACAGAGATCTGTGGGGACAGAAAGGAGGTGCCACGCACAGAAAGGGAGGATGGGAGCTGGTCCCTCCTGAGGTCAACAGGGGAGACAGTTCCTTTCCGTGGAGAGATCTCAGCTTGTCAGGGGAAGGAGACACCATTGGCCTTACCCTTGACCAGGCAATCCACTCAGAAAGCAGAGGGAGGAAGAGGACCATCATTCCCTTCTCTGCTCTTCAGGGCCCTTGTCCTCACACTCTCTTTATTAAGGCCTGCATTTCCTCTCTCTGTCTTGCTGGGCATTTCAGCTTTCCAACAAGCTAAAGTCTTCCCAGCTTCACAACAGACTGTGTGGTTACTGCTTTCCCAGCCATCTACCATCTTGTTTGTATCCTTTCTTGATAGAGGTAAATGGATGACGATATCAAAAACCTGAGCTCAAATCCTGACTCTACTATTTGGCAGCCGATCTTGGGCAAGTTACTTAACCTCTATGTGCTTCAGTTCTCTCTTCTCTAAAATTAGGATGATACTAGTCATTAAAGTAGTTCATGCAAAGTGCTTACAAGAGTATCAGCCACATGGTAGGCACTCAAAGACTACTCAGTACTCATTTACTTGCACTTTTTAAGATTGTATCATTCCATTCTCCTGCCGTTTCCTGTGTTGTTAAAAAATCATAGATAAACAGGGAGTAGCCTTAAAGGCCATGGAGTTCAATTTTCTCATTTTATGGTTGAAGAAACACAAGAGCCTCAAAGTTAGGTAACTTGTCCAAATTCCGTGCATGTTGTGCACACTTGTTTCCCATAGCAAAACTATGCAAACCCTAGGGATGCAGCCTGGCCTCCTTTGACTTCTCTCTCATAGTGCTCTCTCTCTCTCTCTGTGACTGCCTGACTCCCCGACCATCCAGACCATTGAGTAGGACACAGTCAATAGAATTAAGAGAGAATGATTGGGTGGGAAGGGGTGGAGGGACATGGGCTGGGGAAGAGCCCTCACATACAGCACTTTGGGTGCTCGGGCTGAAGGCCTCACGGACAAACAAGGCTGCCAGGGTAGGCTCGAAGAAGGTTCCTGTCTCCTCCACACACTTCATCCATCGAGGGCGGGAAGGCTACGGAGACAAAGATGGAACGAATGGCTCCCGTCAAGCATTCTTCCTCATCCATCTCCCCAGGCCTATCTTGTCTAGACCTTTCCCCCCAGAGGAGGCTCTCTTCCTTGTCTTTCTGGGTTTGTCTCACTTTGCTCTATCATCCTTTTTGGTGATACACAGGGGGCTATTACCACTTGGTAATAAAAAGGGCTATGTCCTCCAGGATTAGTCTCGTGAGCTTGAATTGGGCAGATAATCCTTATTTATTGACTACTGAATCTGAAA